TAAACTGCTTACAGTTTAACTCTATATTCAGGCTGTAAAACTAATATTTAAAGTGAAACTATATCACAGAAATATAATAATATATGGTATTATATGATAATATTAAATATTAAAGACCTCTACATTTTATTTCAATTTCCTTTTCATGGATGGTTAAGAGGGACCATTTATTCATTGAACAATATATTCTTAGTGTGACTATTTAGGAAAGCTTCTTATACATTTAGATGTAGACATTAAAAATTTTACCCTAGACTATAATCTCATTACGTTTAAACTGCAGGCTTCTGCTAAAATCAAAATTGACTACAGATCTACAGTGCAACAAGTGGCCATCCTGTGCTGGCAAGAGTTCTAGTGAGCCACAGCTAATGTCGTCTCCATCCATAGACCTTCAGGCTCCCGTGATGCTGTGGACAATGACCTGGCCTTTATGTACAGAAGTTGAATGACTGAACCCTGTTCTCCACCTACAAAGATTTGGTTCATTTCTCCCTCCTGTGTAACTACTTTAGATATTTTCTCAACTACACAATGGGAAATGTGTTTTAACTGAGTCTTACTCACACCTTTGGAAATGAGTAAACTGTTCTCTTGAAACAAAGTCAATTATTGCTACAAAATCAACAAGATAATTATCTCATGTCCCAGGAATAAATGACCATTTCTCTAACATTACGTTGCGCCCAGCTGTGTAGCACGCTCTTATTCGTCCTTCTTTTGTCCTCAACTATTTATTTATATTGACTTTTTAGGTTAATTTTACAAATAGTAGAATTAGTTTGCTGATTACAAAATGATCCAGAAATTCTTTTCATCAACAGTACTTTTTAAATTCATCATTTATATAGCATCTATGCAGAGTAAAAGAGAATGTCAGCAAATGATATGCAACAGTAACCCAAAGTTCAATAAAGTGCAGATTAAATTTTGTGGAAGGTTACCATTATAAATTGGTGTAACTATTTCTCTAACAAACAGGGTCAATTTTTTTCCTTGCCACTGTTTTGTTTATGCTAGAGACAGTGAATTGCAGGTGTATTCTCAGAACCTTACTCAATGCTAGTGTTAGTTTCAAAGGCCTTCAGGAAATCATTAGGCAACTTCATCTCAAAACAGACTGAAAGGTCAGGGGTATATATTACATGAGATTTACAGCCCATGCTTATGGGGTGCCTTGGGCATTTACTCTTGTTCAAAATATTGTATGTTTCAAAACATCTGTTCCCATTCCTAGAATTTGTGAGTTTGAAGCATGTCAGCATCAGATTTTGAACAGTGTGCCAAAGACACATATCACTTTTTAAATATCAATCATTAGGCTTGGGTAGGCAAACAAATTCTGTGAATTCCAGTGGAACTGTGGAACACCAAGCAGGTTTCCAAGTTAGAAAGTACATAGTAGCCCAAACCCAAAGAAGAACATGGCTTGGGAAGGAAATGGGGTGGGGGCTCTAGGCGGGGTTGGAGGGAGGCAGTGATGGATAAATATGATCAAAATACAGTCTATAGATGGATGGATGTGTCCCCCTTAATACTCCCAGCCTGATTTTATGTACTCTATCTTACATATATATTAATATATTAAGGCCTATAGGGTCAAATTTGTGTCCCCAAATGTCCTTCAGTGTGGACACTTCACTGGAGCCTGGTTAACCTATCAAGAGTCATACCCTAAAAAGAGACTGATTCTCTCCTTCCCAGAAGCCTTGAGTTCCTCAGGCATGGTTGGGGTTTCTTCAGGTCTATGCTATGAATTTTTCTGGCTTGAGCTTACATTGTACTTGTGTATGCTGTCACCATTGTTGTGTGTTCATGAGAGTAATTTCCCAGCTATCTGAATAACTGTTTCCCTGTGGTCATCCACCACTTCTTGCTCTTGCAACCTTTCTGCCCCCTTCTGCAATAATCCCCGAGCCTTTGGAGGCAGAAGTTTGACATAGGTGTCCTATTCAGGCATAAACACTTTGCAGCCTCTTGTTCTCTGCACATTGGCCTCTTGTGGGTTTCTGTTTTAATCACCACCTGCTACATAAAGAAGTTCGCTGGTGAGAGTTGGCAGATGCATTAATCTATGGGTGTAACATTGTCATTACAAGTCACTTTGATACTATATCTGTTTAGCCAGATAACAGTATTAAATGCTTCACTATGGCTTGTGGCCTGTCTAGCCACATGTTCCTAGGATTGCTATCAATGTCAAGTATGGACACCTTCTTAAGAAGCAGACCTTAGAGCCAAATAGGAAGTGATTGGTTACTTCCATAATATTCATGCCACTTTTGTACCAGAGGACATCTTTGCTGTTGAATCACACAGGATTCACAGCTGGGTAAGGTGTATGATTAATTTTATTTTCTGGAAGCATGCATAGCACCTACTAGCACTATGAAAGCTAGCCAGTAGAGATGAAGCTTTGAAGTCAGCACTAGCTTGATGTCTCCTTGTTTTTTTCCTGTGGCTCATATATTTAGCATCTTCAGTAATAAAGTCTTACCATCAAGTTCTGTTGGTTAACCGAGAGCCAGGGCCACAGCCAGTAGTGTTAGAGGTTCTATTGGAGCCCTCAGCAACAACTTCAAAAGATGGAGTCCATTCCTGACATTAGGCTTTTACTTTGCTAACCTATGGTGTCTAGTAGGGGTAATGTCCCCCTCTTATAGGATAACTCCTTTTAATCTCCTTTCATAATGTATATGTACATATTTTAAAGAGGCTTCTATAGCAGTAGGTTTCCATGTGGCTTTTTCTAAAGACCTTTAGTGTTACTTGTCCCTCCCCACACTCTCTCCTCTGGCCTGCTCTCCCACTCCCACCCCATTTAACCCTTCCTACTCCATTATTCTCCCTTCCCTCTTTACACCACTGCATTCTGTCTCCCATGAACCCCTCCCCGCCTTGACCATTTATTTGTTTTCTGACTTCCCTGACTTTTCCAATTGAAACATGTAAATCTAAGAATTCAAAGCTAGCATTCAGTTGTGAGAGAGAACATGTGACTTCTCTCTTTCTGGCTCTGGGTTACATCACTCAGGATGATTGTTTCCAGTCCCATCTATTTACAGGTGAATTTCATAATTTCTTTTTTGACAGATAAATAATATTCCATTGTGTACCTTACTTTCATTAGCCATTCATTGGTTGAAGAACATCCAAGTTATTTCCAAAAACCTAAATCTAAGGAAACTAACCACCAGTATAATGACCTGGGACATTAACTCAAAGATTGGTATGAAACCTTGAAGTTTATCATTAAAACTGAAAATATATTCGGCAGGAATTGTGTCCTGATTGGATATTGATAGAAGTCAGTCTCCTCTCTCTCTCTCTCCCATCACCCATATTTCCATGGCCTCTGCTTCATCTTTCATTTTTTTCTCCTTTTCTCCCCCTCTATGTTCCCTACACACACACAAGCAAGCGTGCACACACACACACACATAGGCGTACACACGTGCACACAGGCATTCAAAGACAAAAAAGGTGCACACATACAGACACACAGATAGATACACACAGACACACACACACAGAGATACACACAGGCATACACACACAGGCACACATGCACACGTGCACACACAGACACACAGAGACACATACAAAGGCACATGTATACACAGAGACACAGACAGACACACATATACACAGAAACACAGACACATACACATAGACTCATGCACACAGGCACACACACGTAGACATGCACACACAGACATGCACAGGCACACACACAAACACAAAGAGACACAGACAAACACACAGAGACACACAAGCACACAGCACATACAACACACAGATGCACAGGCATACACATGTGCACATACACAGGCACTCACAGACACAAAGGCGTGCACACACAGACACAGAGAGATACACACAGACACCAGAGATATACAGACACACAACATGTACAGGCACACATGCACACACACACACCACAGAGGTAAAAATGATCATCTTATAGTACAGATGCTGACTGTGGGGCAGCTGCCCCACATCTGAATCCTCACTCTGTCCTCACTGACTTTGTGACACTGTGCATTTATTCTCTTAACCCAAGTCTTCTAGTCTGGAACAAACATGGCTGGAATGGCTCTGAATGTGAGGCCCTGCAGGTGGATAAGATGCGTCACTTGCTTGTCATGTATATAGTACCCACTCAGCAATGACTGCCATAACTACTATATTTTAAGTAGTCACTTGATTTCCAAACATGTTATGTAAATCATAACCATGTTATAAAACTATTAAAGCCTTGTACCTAAACTAAAATAGACCTAATGCTCATAATGTACTGAAATTTAAATGAACAACTAAATTTGTCACTATTAATTTGTTGCTACTTTGATGAGATTGCTCAATTTTTTCCCTATGACATTTCCAGAAAAGTAAAGAAAAAAAAAAAAAGCATCACCACTAAAAACCTTCACCTTTCCTTCACTGACACTTTTATCTTGATAACCTGACACACAGAGTTTAACCACAGTTCTCCTTAAACGTGACATTGTATTTTTTAAATTTATTTGTTTTATTTTGTTTTTTATGAGACAGGGTCTCCCTGTAGCCCTGGCTGCCCTGGAACTTGCTATGTAGACTGGGCTGGCCTCAGTCTCACAGAGATCCACCTGCCTCTGCCTCCTGAATGCTGGGATTAGAGGTGTATGTCACCACACTTGGAAAAGCATGACATTTTAGAGTTTATTTTTTTGGTCTTTTTAAGACAGGGTCTTCCTGTAGTCCCAGCTGGGCTAGAACTTACTATGTAGACCAGGCTGGCCTTGAACTCAGAGATCCACCTGCCTCTGCCTCCCAAATGTTGTGATTAAAAGCTTGTGCCACCATTCCTGGCGACATTTTAATTTTAAGAATCCACAATCTATGGAAAAGTGTTTGGAAGCTGGCTTTGGATGAAAAGCGCTTTTGTCCCTTCAGTTTTATTTCTGCTTGATAATATTCAACACTCTTCCTTGTGTCTCTCTTGTCTCCCAATAACCAAGGTCTCTCCAGGATCTGTCCAAACAAACAGACATCCCTTATGGCACAGTCCTGGACTCTGCAGTGTACCAGCATGTCCGCATGAAGGGACTGAATCCTTTCGAGAGGGACAGCATGTATTCCCAAATGTGGAGAATGATCAACCGAAGCAATGGATCAGAGAACAATGTTCTGGAATCCCAAGCAGGCATTCAGAAGGTATGACAGTGGCTTTCAAAAGTAATCTTTTCCAGGCTGTCTTCCCCACTGCAATTGCTGAGATTTATTTATTTCTTATTCACTGTGACTCTGACACAGGGTTTTCAGTAAAATTATACCTTTGTTACTTTAAAGATGGCCTCAGGATGCTCAGTGCTCCCAGACAGGAAATTTCAAGTCCTCTGTGATGTCTCACAAATCAGTTTCCCATGGAATTCCAAACCTAAAACTCATGCTGTTATTTTCTTCAGAAAAGGATTAAGGACTTATAAACATGAAGACTAAAGAAGTTTTCACAAATCCCATTCCAGATATCTCAGGTTATGCAATTCATTTCAATGACTTAGGGTATTTTCTATACCACATTTGTTTTAGTCTAAAACTTCATCTCTTCTGTGATTATCTAAAGCTACTTGGAAGAAAAATTTAATCTTATCAACAAATAAGGTTCCTGCAAATGACTGTTTCTGTTTCCAAATGTGAAAAATCCTTATCTGCTTATTTTTCTATAACCATCATTTAGAAGTAGCTATTTACAAAGGCTTAGAAAAGCTTTTTCACTTTTGTAAAAAACTTTAAAAAGCCATTCTTCGTTGTTCGTGGATGTAGTTTCCTTACAAGTATACACAAGAAATTCTGGTCCAGCAGCCTCTGGAAGAGAGCTGGATACTTCTGTGTTGAAAATGACTACCAGTGGCTAGATGTGGTTGTCATACATTGGGCGCTCCTGGAAAGAATGAACGAATGAAGGCATGAGCGAATGAGGGACTAGATGTCAAGGACAGCAGCAGCAGATTCACTGTTTCCGTGTGACTTTCCATAGCAGAAAAATTCTCGGTGTCTGCTCAGAAGGCAAATGCTCTCTGCTGAAGAGGATTTTACAACTCTGAGTCCTCTACCCCAGGTTCCAGTGTGGCTCTTGGCCTTTTCGCGTGGTGCCCTTTATCTGCAATCACTGTTAGTGTGGTGTCTAGGGTCAGCCTAGGCAATCTGTGCTATAGCCACACTGACATTGCTATGGTGAGAACTGATGCTGTTGTAAATCCTTCCCTAAGTGCTAACACCTCCTTTAGGAAGGGAACACTCTTAACAGAAGCAGAAGCTTGTAAGAAAGGACATGGCTTGATCCTCTAGTGCCTTTTCCCTTGTTATGCAAATCTTAGTTTCTTAAGGCCCAAATGTAGATCCTAAAATGTTTCTTGTCTTTTTTGAGAGGAAATTGACTCTGGGAAGTTTAACTCGGCATCCTTGCCTGGCAGGGAGAGTGGGTCCAGGATGTGGTTGAATATGCACACTGGTAGAGAGGAGGAAAGGAGGATGTTTGGGGTTGACTAGATAGGTACTCATAGGAAGCCAGTCAATTTGAGTTTCTGAATAAATACACTAAGTGGTCATTGGAAGGTTTTTCTTCATCTAACATCAAAAAAAAAAATCCTTTATAGGGCTAGAGGTGTAGCTTAGTGCTAATGTGTGCTTAGGGCATATGAGGCCTGTCTTCCGATTACTCCCCACCACAGAAAAAGAGAAATTCTGTTTTTCAAAGATGAATATAAGTAGAAATTCTTATTTTATATTTATGCTACATTTTAGGAGGCAAAGCTGCCCTGGCTAGTACCTCTGTCTCAGTGTTATTCCAGAGACAGTTCACTGCTTTTCTCTCATCAAACGTATAAAGTCTCAATTAATTTGTTCATTCTTAAATATTTTCTAAGGGCTAGTTATGAACCAGGCCCCGATATAGAACCTGGGGATTATCTCGGCATCAGAGAAATGCTCACTGCGCTCAGGAACAAGAGGGTCTGGTGAGAAAGAGAAGAGAGAAATAAAACATGTGACTGAAACTGTGATAAATGCTATGAGGTTTGTAACAGGGTGCTACTGTGGAGGTGGAAGAGCCACAGGTCATTTGGTTCTTTTGGGCCTCTCTCCTCTTTGTCAAAAACAATCAGAGTAAAGGAAATAAGAGCCTAAGCTTGTGCCAGGCAGGCGTGGAGGTGCACACCTTTAGTCCCAGGCCTTGGGAGGCAGAGGCAGGCAGATCTCTGGGAGATCAAGGCCAGCCTGTTCTACATAGTGAGTTCCAGGCCAGCTGGGGCTACAGAGTGACCCTGTCTAAAAAAGACAAAAATAAATAAAATGAAAAATCTTGAGCCTAGCAGGCCTGCCATCCTGGATTTAAATCTAACTCACTTTTAAAAATGAAATACGTGAGCATGACCATTATTTTAGAATCTTCCTGAGCCTGGGGAGTACCAGCACCATGATAAGAAGTCCCACCCTCACACAGGTGTGGCCAAAATTAAATGAACCTGCATGTGTTGGCTTACCTCTCTAATCCCAACACCTGGGAGGCTAAAGCAAGGCAGATTGTGAGTTCCAGGCCAGCCTAGGGCACATAGCAAGTCCCTGTCTCAAATACTTAAAAATAATAATGATTAATAAGATGGGGCCTGGAGAGATGGCTCAGAAGTTAAGAGCACTCACTGCTCTTACAGAGGACCCAGGCTCAGTTCCCAGCACCCACATTGAGGCTAACCATCCATAACTCCAGTTTCGAGGGATCCGGCACCCTCTTGTGACCTTTGTGGGCATTGTATGGCACAGGCGCATTACATGCATGCAGGCAATATAGTTGTGCACATAAAACAGCAAAAATAAATAAATAAAATATATTTAATTAAGATAGTTATGCAGAGCTTAAATACAAACTACGTAGAGCCACAAACATCTTTTAAGATAGTTCAGGAGATTACCAAGAGAATGTATATGTGAGGAATTTGTAATTACAAAACTTTAGTATTTAATAATTCCTCTTTTAACTTCAAATTGTTGTTACAAAAAAGAAAAAGAAGAAAAAAATAAAAAAAGAAAGTGCAGTATGAGAAGCAGAAAACAATTTCTGGTTCCTGGTAGTCTGCTTATAAGGAAAGTTAGTAAGTTTAAAGAGCAAATCAAGTCTTCCAATATTTACTGTCCCCTGATCATCCTATTTGGGGGCTTGCTGAAGAGGTGCGGAACCATGCCTTTATGAATTCACAAAGCCTAAGTGAAGTTTCTTCCTAGTGTAGGTTTCCTTCAGCCAGCCAAAGGCAGCTGAAAATTGTTTGGACACAGAATAAGTTGTAATAAAGACATGAATTTTGGTTGAGTTCGTAAGATTTTTGGAAAGTTTCCATTAAAAAGTAAAACCGAGCAACAAATAACCTCCTCACCTGCTGAAGCGCACCAGAGGGAGCATCATAAAACCCAGTACCTTTCCATGAAATGCGGCTGCGGGGGTGGTTCATTCTGGAGCACCTGGTCTTGCACACCTAACACAGCAGCTTCCTGATCTCTGCTATTGATTTCTAATTAGTGCAGGCAGAAAAGGAAAAAAAAAAAAAAACCTTCAGAGATAGTCAAGGTCAACATTCCACTAAAGGCCACCCTGCTTCTGTGCTGTCTTTGACAGAAATCCATACACAATAACCGCCTCACTAGAAAACCTGTATCACTGTGAAAAACAGTCCTCACAATCCATAACTAACTAGATCTCATTAATGTCTCAGGCTGTGCTTGTCCTTAATTGAGCTACTGGTCTCATTGTTTCCCCTACTTAACAGCGGATCCCGATCCCCTAAAACATCTTTGTTCTGAGGTACCAGAGAAATCTGTGTAAGTAAGCATTAAGTCGAGAGTTTGGATTTATTCCTCTGGCAAGACATTCACCTGTACCGAACTACCCTAATTAAATAAATTTATTTCTGTCTTGCTCTGCCCGAGTTCTTCATGTAAGTATTAAAAAGGTATGACTTGGAAAATGTAACCGAAGTTTTTTTTCAGGCAGCCAACGGTTACTTTTGGAACACATCCTGTGTATCAGACATTAGCCACTGGGATAAACAGAGAAGGGAACAAGTGCTTTCCTGAGTTTGCCCCTACCAAGGGTAGCAGACAATAAACAAAGTTGCTGAACTATTACTGAACCTTCAGTAGTGAAATGTATTAAGAAGGAAAAGAGACAGTAGAAGGTACAGACTGTGGACAAGCTCTTGCCTCTATGATCAAGTAACCAAGGAAGGCCCCACTGAGAAGGTGATATTTGAATAAAAGCTTGAAGAAGGGGTGTGTGTGTTTGTGTGTCTGTGTGTGTGTTGGAGAGAGAGAGAGAGAGAGAGAGAGAGAGAGAGAGAGAGAGAGAGCCTGGGCAAATTGTTCTCAGACAGGTCAGGAAGTACAAAGGCCCTGGAGCAGCCCTAGATTGTCCTAGAGTAAGGAGGCTAATAAGGACCCAGAAGTGCAGGATTAGTATCAGAGATGCAACATCAGAGAGAGCCAGAGGGCAAAGCAGAGACCATCATGTAGAGTCTTGCTCCTTAAAGCAGGGCCTCTGAGCTAACAGCAAGAGTCTTACCTAAGAGTTAATAAGCACAAACTCTCAGACCCACCCCAGTCCTCTGAGAGTGAAGGCCAGTTTTACAAGATCTGAGAAGGATTCGTAGGCACAGTAAAGTTTGATTTATAGTAATGCAAGACTGTATAGAACATTCTAATTTGGCTTTCCTCTGTGAGTGATAGGAAACTCAAGAGGGTATTAAACAGAAAGCCAACAAGATTGAAGTCACATTTTGGCAAAGCGAGCACTGAGGAAAATCTAAAGTGGCCACATGGACATGGGTTAGGAGGCCACACCTGCCACTTGACAATGTTCTGAAATTACACCATGACATGTTCATCCCTGTTAAAACCCAATGCAGTCTGGAAGACTATGCAGTCATTGACGTCTGTCAGGTTATTTGGTGGGTACTGAGACATGGGACAGGGTATTTATGAGAGCACATGGAGAAACCACCAGGTCTCGGGTTAGGAACTAACCAGAAACATAGGATCTGTGTACAGCACTGAAATAAAGAAGTCCGTGATTATTACCAGGGCAGTATTCATTTCTAATAGCCTAGTAATCTCTGTGGTATTAAATCCTTCTAGAACTGCAGTAGTTATGTCCTCCGGAGCAGTAAGGA